ATAAATCCTTAACAAACAAACTCTGAAAGGCTAAACAAACAAATCCACCTTACCACTATCCCACAAGCCTTCAACCTTCTTCATTTGCCTAATTCTGCAGTCAAATTGCAGTTGTTGGCAGAGAATCTTCTCTAGTTTTTGTTCATGTTTTTTTAAAACAGGGTGCAAGGATGTTTTTGCAGTTAAGACTGCTAAATCTGGAATTTTTTTATACAATGAGGCGTTGGCCTCATCTTGTTTACAAGTACTTTTATCTTGTAGATTTTCCAAATAGATCTGCTATTGTATGTTGCATTCTCAGATAGTACTGATGAGCATCTGCAAGAATTCTGTGAGCAAAGTACTGCATAAAACCCAACATTTTATATGTAGGTTGGTAATGAATAATACACCATATGCTAACTTTTCATCATAAGAATAAATTTTTTTGTATGTCTAATGTTGGTAACTGGTGTTGAAACAAGTGCTCTGTGTGGCTGAAAGTTAATTAGTGTATTGTTCAGATCTGTGCCATATCTTATATTGCAAATACACAGTTCATACTGCTGAATTTCCATGGCAAGGGCTGGAATGAGATGATCTGTAAGGTCTCTTCTAATCCAAGTGATTCTGTGGTCCTATATATGTTAAGCTGTGGTTCCAGACTCTCTAAAAACCTGGGAAGAAAAAAAAAAAAAAGTACTACTCATGTGGCAAGATGAAATCTAGATGCATGCAACAGCAGCATTTGCTGTTACTCTTCTGCATCTCAAATTAAATGTAGCACCATATTAGTGGATGTTCCTTTGACCAAATCACTTGTAACTATTAGAGTCTGGACTGTCATTTTATGGGGATGAATTGGGCAGTATAAGGCAGTGTATCCCCAGCAGCTATACCTGGGAGAGCAGCAGATACCTCTCTCTCAGCCCCCTATGCACACATGAGCTTTCTCTGTCCTTTTTGACTGAGCACGTGTTTAGCACCTAGAGAAGAAGCAATAGTTTACTTATCCCTATTAAAGCTTTGCAGGTAACTCCCTCAACAATTCTCACTGGAGTTTTTATCTTCTTGTTCCATTAGAAAGGTTCAGAAGTTGCAAATGGGCATCCAGGTAAAAAAAGGCCCAAAATCTTTTTATGAGCTTCCCACTAAGCTGAAAATACTGCAGACCAACAAATACCAAAGCTTGCCTATTAGAAAATGTTTTATTGGAGATGCTTTAGTAATAATAAAATAATAAAAATAATAAAAAATAATAGCACAGTGATGGTATAAGTTCAGTGTTTCAATTAAGAGTTTTAAGCATTTCATCAGTAGTCTTTGCAGCTCCTCAGCCAGCCATATAATCTGTTACAGTTGAATACACTGAAGATGATAGCTTGCAAAGTTTTCTTCAGGTGTTTTCATGATCAGGGTTACTAATAGATTATTTCTTGATCTTTGCAGTGCAACTACAGTGAAAGCAGTCTGTGGTTTGTTCAATATATACAAGATAAAAGCCAGTTTTCACATCTATGTTGTGGTCTTCAAAACAGAGCAAGACAACCCAGCTTCTTCTGTAATACTTCATGGGGGAGAGTGAACCATGAATTATGTGTAATCGGCAACATGAATTCTCTAATTTGACTTTTTATGATGTATGCCTGTTCCAGTGAGTGCTGCTTTGAATGGTAGCCACTTAGCTGTCAAAATTTTGGCAGGAGCTCTAGAAAATCTTATAAAAATTGAAAGAAACTACCTCTCATCTAATGAGGAGGAGGATGCAGCCACTGAGCTGAATTTACCATTGTAGCATATTAATATCTTGCACAATTTTAAGGTGTCATTCCTGGAAACAGTCCTTCTAGCCTGCTGTCCTGTAATATAGCATGGTCTGAAAGAGAGATGTAGTCTTTTTCTGAATAAAAAGAAACAACTGAGTAGTGGGTCCTGACCCTTCAGTGATTTGCTGTGAACAGTAAGATAAAAATGTATTCCATACAGACGCTATTTGTTTTGGTGGTGCTTCTGCTTTTCCAGTAAGACCAATGTATCTTAAAAGCATTCAGAAATGTAGCAGGCATCTCATTTCTCTGAAAGCAAGATATCTCCAAATATTTTTCAGTCAAACTTCAGATGAAAATTTTTCTGGTGTAAGACAGCAAACTAAAGATTTCAAAGAGGATCTGGTAAGGATAGCATTCACATATTAAGATGAGTGATTTTTCTTCACAGCACACAAAATGCTGAGTCAGTTGGTTTCTTATTTTTGTTTCAAAGATGAGATGTATTAAAGAAATGTCAGTGGTATTCTGAAGTATATTTACATATTGAGAAATCTGATAAAGTGTGTCAATGGACTTCAAATTTTGTTCATCTGTAGAATTGGCAATTTTCTTATTTCCTTACTGAAAAAAAAGGATATAAAATATCATTGAGTTGATTAAGACAGTTTGTTGTTTAGTGACTGGAGCTACTTTGGAGACATGCTGGATGTAATTGGTGTTGATGCCCTTCCACAGTGTTCCTCAAGTTGTAGTTGCAGTTTTAAGAAAAATTTCTTGTTGGTCTTTTTTGTATCTTTGTTTTGTTAGGTTATTGTTGCCCCACCTTTTTCTCATTGCTCACAGTTATATTGCTTCTGTCAGTCATAGGGAATTTTCAGGAATTTTTTATTGTGTTTTTAGACTATCCACAGTAGATAAGAGCTTTATGGAGTCTTTAGAAGCACTGAGCCTGGCAGGTGAAGATAAAGAGCTTACATGACATGATGCCCTGTGGGAAGCCATTTGTTGTGCTGTTGGGACTGGGTGCTTTGAATCAGCCCAGCATTCTGAAGAGCTGGTGTGGTGGCGTGCCCAGATACCAAGCAAACCATAGTGCCCCAGGCATGCTCCCCTAAAGCAGCTAAACACAGTTCTGATGGTGCCAAGATTTGAAGATATGGCATCTTTGCATTACAAAATAGACTATGTTTATCAGTGCAACTTTATACTGGTTAGTTTTGCCACATTTCATAAAGCTTTGGTAACTTGAGTTTTATTAAATTGTATCGCTAATTTTGAAAAATCCTGCATAAGTGAATCTCCCAAAGAATTGATGTTGCCATTGTTTGTTTTTTTTTCTGAAGTATTCTAGTCTTCCTAGCACATGAGAGAGCTGTAGAAGGTGTTATGAATAGAAACTGAGCAATGGCTCACAATGAGCCATGTACAGTCTGTTAAGTGTTGCTGTCTCATATTGCTGTGTTATAAGTGGTTTGGACTGTGAGGAAGTGAGAAGCAATCTGCCAGGAAAACAAATAATCCTAAGAGGTTGAGAATGGCTTCTGTCCACTCTGAGGAGGACAAACATCCAGAGCCTGGCTATGGATGCTTCATGTAGCAGGTGGTTTTCTGTGGGTTTGTATGACCTTGTGGCTTGAAAATGCAGTTGGTTAGTTGGGATTCCTATAGACACTCCGATTCTGGGGACAAAAACGTGTCACTTAATATGCCATTCTGGCAGCTGCAGCATAGGTGTGAAACCAGAGGTTTATGTTGTGCACTCAGTAGCAGGAGAGCATGGAGATGCTTGTTAAGCAGAGTCTTTTATGGGAGCATCTGAGCAGAGAGTAGGAAGGAATGCACTTCCTTACTGTTACTTCACAGACTTCTCTGCTTTCAAGGAAGGCCTATTAGGGTGATCTGTGCCCAGACACAACTTTTAGGGTTTTTTTATAGGGAACTCATTGGCTTGTTCTAAAAGACAGCTTAGGAATGAATACTGCTTCACCTCAGTGTGGATGTTCAAGGAAACATATGATTGGAATGAACTGGGAGCTCAGTTCGTACTTGATGGGGCAGTCATTCATACCTTATGAGGGTATTTTTAAGTAAAAGCTGAGGTTCAATCATGAGGCTTTTACTAAGGGTTATTGAGATCCCACATTTTTGATACCAGACCTCTTGAAGAACTCTGTAATTTAGATACATTGTCTGCCTTGCAATGCACTGTGTGACTAGTGCTTCCACTTGCATTAGCAAGGATTACTTGGATTTTAAAAATTTGAATTTTGTGCAGAAGCCGTGTTTCTCCTGTAGATATCATGTTCCTTCAACAGTAGGGAAACATCAGATGACAGAAGAGGTTTCTTGGCACAGGATTGTAGCAGTTTCTGGTTTTGTGTTTGTCTTTAAGGAACTGTCATAAGGGAGCTGCATATGCTGTTTATAAAGATAAGACAATAAGGGGTTTAAGTTTGGTAACTTATGTATTCCAAAAGCTAAGTGAAGACATGTAAGCTTACGAAAACCTTATTTCTCAGTGAATACAAGATTGAGCAGTTTGTTTATCTAGCACTATGTTGTTAATACCCTTAACTGAAGGTTAACTTTGGATTTTATGGATTTTAGTCTGCTTTAATACTTATAGTAGTCAAGTTGCTTTTCCCCACCCTATTCCCTGACTCCCAGACACTGCCATGGTATGTTATAGTCAACCATTATATGTTAAGAAAATATCCCATTAGTTCTCACTTAACAGTTTCAGCATTTATTTTGTCTGTGCTTAAGAGATCTTCCTCCATTTTCTCTCCTAGAAACTGAGTTTTAACTGTTACAGCCCATGGCATCAGTTTATAAAGTGATGATTTTAAAGAAATCTAATGTAGTGGAACTTGGTCATTAAATACTGAAGTAAAGGATGCTATAAGGATTTTGAGGGAGAAGATTATTTTCTCTACATTTCAGAGATTGTTTGAATGCTTCTTTAATGTAATTTTTACTGCTAGATGGCATTCTTCTAAAAAACAAACCTGATCCTCACACTGTTCCAGGCATTGTATGGTTTGTTTGTGTACTTTAATGAGAGGGAAATGAACATGAAATTATTCTGCTTTGAAACTGTTGGTATAGCTTTTCACCCACTCTCTCTGTTTGAAAAAAGATTAAAATTATTTTAGCCACTAGTACATAGCTCTGAGAATTAATGTTGTTCTACTGTTGTCACTCAGCATACGTTGTAGGGGTGTTTATGCCATCTCTGCTTATGTTTTTCAGCGCAATGCGCGTGTTGTTGTCCAAGTTACCACGACCGTGGATTGTTGATGAGAAAAAAGATGATGGTTACACAGCCTTACATCTGGCAGCTCTTAATAATCATGTGGAAGTGGCTGAACTTTTGGTGCATCAGGTAGGACTTTTCTCAGGAGGATTTAAATGTCATGCTTTGGTTAACCATCTGATGTGAAAATAGTTGGCTGCTTTACGCCTGCAGTCGCAATGCAGAAGCAGTGGAGGAGGGAAGGACGTGTTGAGCTCTAAAGGTCAGATTTGCCTTTCAGATTGTTACAATGGCCTAATGGTGCAGAGGGACTGAAAAATTGGATACCTAGTTTCATTCAACAGATCAACATCTGTACAGTGAATAAATGAAGTTTTCAATCACTTTTGTTCTCAAATCCCATAACTAGGAATTGTATTCAGGGTCATAGTCAGTGTCCTAATGGACTGCCTTGCCTGTGGATGAGTTGCTGGGGTGATAAAGCTCTAATGTTTTGAATATCTTGCAGGGCAATGCTAACCTGGATATCCAGAATGTTAACCAGCAAACTGCTCTTCATCTTGCTGTTGAACGACAGCATACACAAATTGTTAGGGTAAGTATCTTATTTGCAGTAAGCCATATGGTTAATGGCATTTGGCTAAAGCTGATGGTGGCTGTTAAAGTATGAATACTTCATGAACGTTCAGAAAATTATTTGACAACATATAGTCACTGCATGTTTGTTTGATTGGATTTTGTTTCATTCAGAAGCCTGCCAACTTGCACAGAAGGTCAGTCAGCAATATGAACGCTGCTTGAAGCATGCTAAATTTTTGTACATGTACATTATGGTTTCCTCTCTGTGGTTGCCAATTCCAGCATCCCTTCTTGTTTAGTAAGGAAGAATATGTTCAGCTGTTACTTGTCTGAATCTTGTGGTGCTGTAAGGGGATCTTCAAATAGCATTTCTGATGCCTCCTGCTGTATGAGTAATTGTTCTTGCTCATAGCTTTTGCAAATTATAACACGAAACATCTTTTAGGACCTTAACTCCTTTTCAGTCTCTGAGTGTTTGACATTCCATGCTTTTAGCTTGGGAGACCTATAAGCAGTGAACAGTAGTGCCCTATTGGTGAAAGGAATGCTATCCTGGTTTTTTGCTTGCATGATTGCAAAAGTGAATGCTTCAACTTAACAAAGCTTTGTTGCTAGCACAGGAAGTGCGATGAGTCTGGCATAGCTTGCTGTTTCTGGCCTGTGTGCACTGTCATACAGGACCTGTGTGACTGTTTGCCTTGCTACTGTGGGATTTTGAGGCTCAGAGAGAGCACTCACTGCTCTCAGAGTGAATACATCAACCTGGCCTTGGCCTTTGATGCATTTTTTTTTTTTTTATGCAGTCATCTTGTATGGAAAACTGTCTCTTATTCAGGCCTACACAGAATTGTTCCCCTAGGCAGACCTGCATTCTGTTAAGTGTTATTTAGCCATAAGGTTCTCCCTCTCTGCGGGCTGATGGGTGTGATCCCGTTACAGTGAAACATGTGATATGGCCCTATATCTGGAACTGCTTGCTACCAGAAGAATGGTTTCCTAGAGTCAGTGCCACTTGCATCCTGTAAGCTATTTGGCAGCTGTGTTTGGTGAACTCTTGTGCCCTTCTGGAATTTACAGAGTACCTGGGAATACAATATTAATGTAGCAGATGAGAGGAGGGTAGGCACGTAGAACAACTAGCATGTGTGTTTCACTGACATGCTTATATCTGAGAATGTTTAAGTGAATGACCCTGTAGAGTATCCGTTTTTCAGAATTGGATTAACTTTTAAGAAGTCCTAAAATAGCTCATGTAGCCATGCAAAGAACATGTTGGCTCCATATTCCAAAACTAATTCCTATTGGATAGCTTCCAGGGCTGGGTTTGTACCCTCAGGCATTTGTGGAATAGTGGTCAAAGGTAGCACGGTTCTTTTAAAAGTCCTACTGCCATGACAAAGGGCAATGGTTTGCCTTTTTTTTTTAATCATTTTTTTTTAAACTTCTGCAAAGACTCTGAAAATCTGTGGTAGTCAAGGATTCCAGGAGAAACTCAAAGCAGTAAAGAGCTAGTGGTAGACGCAAGATATGAATATGAGAAAAGAAATTGGTCCAGAGGAAATCCATTTAGAGAGTGTAAGAAGTTGAGACTAGACTGTGTCAGCTATTAGCTGGTATTCTTGATTTCACTTGGGGAAGAGAAGGTTGGGGAAAATTGTAAGCTGCAAATAATTGCAGGCAGATACTTCCTTGAAAATTAGGCTTTCAATTCCTTTTAGCCTGTTCTGAAGTTTGAGGTTCTTTGGTTCTGAGAAACTGAAACTCCTTGCAAGCATGTGGGTTCCAAAGAGGGAGATCCCTCTTTGTATATTCTTGGTTATGGATTATGCCTTTTGTCTCTACTGCTAATCCCAATTTTGCAGAGTAGCAGAAGCTCAAAAACTGAAGTTAAAACCTCAGCTGCTGCCTACAGGCTTCTGAACGGCGACAGTGATGGAGTTTAATTTTTAGGGACAGTTGGTATTTTTTTGTCAGCATGTGTTGCTCTGTTTTGTTCAACAGTGTATTTAAGAAAGTTCTGGTGGACCGAATTATGGAAGGGCTGTATGCAAAGGCCATAGGAATAGGAGGGCCTATGCAGCCTTGTGCTTGTTTTGTGTCATGTGAATAGGAATGGGTGTCTAAAATTAGCTTAGAGACAAGTCTTACAGTTCATTACTTTCCAAAGTGTTCTGAGAGACTTTTTAATGGTGTCATTGGTTTTTATGTCTTCTCCTGAATTAGGGTTAACCAAAGTACATGCTTAACTACTTTGCTAATGTGAGGACACTGTAAATTAAGTTGTAAAGTTTAGTATGGTGTGAAAATGATGATTTTTGAGATAATTGAAAACGAATAGTAAAGAATATATACCTATCTCAAGTATTGTACATATTGCTGTAATAAATTACATTGTTTGTAGGCTGTCTTATAAGAATTAAAGTCTAAGGAAGTAGAAAGGATCCTCTTAAATTATGTCTTTTGTAGCATTCAGAGCACAGGCAAGCATTAGCCTTCTGCTGAAATAAGCTTGATATTTGAGACAGATAAATGTGTTGGTTGAGGGCTGAGCTCCAGGTAAGGAAAATGAATTTAAATTAATTAAACGGTGAATTGTAGCAAGATAGGAGTAGCCCTTTTGAACCTCCTAGAGAATCCTAAACCATAAATTTTTTTAGAACTAAATTAGTTCTAAAAAGGGAGCTTTTTTGGTTTTTTTTAATTTGTTTCTCTCTCTTTTCAGCTCTTAGTTCGTGCAGGTGCTAAATTGGATATTCAGGATAAAGATGGAGATACTCCCCTGCATGAAGCCCTGAGACACCACACCCTGTCACAGCTCCGCCAACTCCAAGACATGCAAGATGTGGGCAAGGTAGATACTGCTTGGGAGCCATCAAAGAACACAGTAAATAAAACACATTTATTTATTCTTTTTTTCCCTGTATATTTGTCTCTTGGTCTACTTCTGTACTGTTGAACTGGGTTTTGGCAGCATTACTTTATGTAGACATTCTGCATTAAACTGCAGTGTAGGCAGAAATCATATTGTTCTATGTGGCTTTCCACATGAAGTCATTACCTTTTTTGAAGAAAGAGGGTTATGTAGCTCAAAAATATTTCTATGAATTTATCTTCTGTAGTGAACATATATGGCTGCCAAAAAATCAAAGTAGCATTTTTGGAAAGAGAATTCAACAGTATTACAGTACAGAATAAGATTGAAATAGTTTTCTGTGATTCAGCATCTTGTCTTTATAACTTTAGTTGCTTAGTTGCTTCTCTAACTTTCTGAAAGTATTTTCTGTTAGAACAAGGCATTCTTCATTTAGTATGTTTATTGAGATGTATATTTTTGACGGAGTTCATTTCAGAAATTGTGCTGTAGTAAGGGAATAGTCAAAAAGCCTCCAGTTTGTAAAAGTCAAAATGTTTTACTGGAAAAAAGAAACTCTCACACCCAAGAAGCTGTGTGAACCCCATATATAGAGGTGAAGTTTGTAGTTTACCTGACAAAGGAGGAATAAAATTATGGAGCAATTCAGATTGAGAAAAAGAAACATTTTTTTTTTTCTTTAGATATTAAAGATGCACAAAATAATAGTGTATCAGTGTATCAGAACTACCGAACCGTTAGTTGTTAGTATAATGTTTTTTCTGATTTTAATTGAGGGTTAAAATTAGAAATTTTTTTGTTGTTGCTTTTGCATTTCATTAAGAAAAAACAAATACACCAACTTTATGAAAAGTCTTTGTTCAAAACAATAATTACACTGTACAATTTTTTTTTCAAATTGGTTACTGAATCTCACTAAAATACACTGGAATAAGCCTTGAAAGAGATTTGAAATATGGCTAATGTGTAAGAAAATGTGTGTGTCCTTTTAAATGAGACAAGAAGAGCAGTGACAGCTCAGTTGTTTCTGTGATCTGAAATGGACTCTATGAGAGCTGTCTAGAATATTTTGTGTTTAACTGTGAAATGAATGAAAGGGAATTTTTTTTCTCAGATTTGGCATTTCATAAATTGGTTTCTCTGCTCAGTCTTATTAATGGCTTTCACAATGAAACTAGAGTTGTGCGTTGAGTTTTGAGGATTTTAACCGAAGCGGGGTTTTTGTCCATCACCTTTTAAACTTCTCTTTGTGAGGGGGGAATTTATATTTTAAATAATAAAGTTTTATCTCTAGTTTCATTTGAGAAGTATTCTTGGTTTAAAACAAAAGTGTAATTTTTTCACATTTCTATTGAGGTAATAAGACAAAGATAAGGCAAAAGATATGAGAAACAAAAAAATTCTCTCATCATTGTGTCTCTGATCACCTAAAAATGTTTTAAAGTTTTAAAAAATCATGATCAACCAATACCTCCTCTCCTTTATTAGCATGATCAAACTACTGGTCATTTCTTTGCACTTTGTTTAGCTGCAGAGAAAATTTTTGCCAAACTAACAAATTTGGGAGGTTTAAGCGGTGTGGAGAAGATAAGTTCTGGCAGAGAAGAGACGAAAACTTGCTTGTTTTTATTTTATGTGAAATGTAAAAGGTGGAGTAAATATATCTGAAAATGCTTTAAGATGATCAGCAAATCAAATTATCTTGAAAATGTTTTGTGAAAAACAGGAAATGAGAACAATACCTGTACCTATCTACCTTTATTTAAATAACAGTAAGGTAAAAATTCTATAAACTAGGTTTTACCATTAAACAGTTCTAAATATTAAGCTGCCTTTTCTCCAAAATTGAGTATCAACAAAGATGGAATTGAAGCTGTAAAAATATGTGCAGGCATTTGGACATTTAAAGCTATCCAAGGACACATTGGTTATTTGTTTTGTGTGGAATTGCAAATACAGGTGATGGATAATAGATGATAAAGAGGATTAATAATTTTGCCTGGGAATCAGTAAGGTTTTCTTTTTGTAAATGTTTTGACTTAAATTGAGGGTTGTTTTGAGAGATTTTTTTTTCTTCATTAATTCCTTTAAAGGTTGCAAAATGTGTCAGATTTCATTAGGCAATGTGATAGCAACACATCTCTGTAAATATTTAGCTTTTAGAGCTCATTTTTGCTTGGCTAAATTTTAATTAATTTTGCACTGCTGTTTTGGAGATTCCAACCTACTGAGGCCTGTATGGCGCCTCTTTGTAGCACATACATACTTAATAGAAATAATTATTTCTATTTTTGTTTCAGTTGAATAAACTGAAAAGAAAAATCTCACTTGCAGGATTTTAGAGTTTTTTCATACTTGATCAAGTTGGTTAGACAGCAACTCATTGAAATTGTATGATTTGTTACTTTTTACTTTGACCACTGTTAAAAGAAACAATACTTTTTACTGATTATCATTCACTTATTTCATAAATGGAACTAAATTGAATGAATTCTTTAACAATGATTTTTTTTTTAGTAGTTCCTTCTGAATGCCAACATTATGCCCGTTGGAGCAGGCTCCCCAGGGAAGCGGTCACAGCACCAAGCCTGCTGGAGTTCAAGAAGCCTTTGGACAATGATCTCAGGCACCTGGTGCAATTCTTGGGGCTGTCCTGTGCAGGGGCAGGAGCTGAACCTAATGATCCTGAGAATTCCTTCCAACTCAGGATATTTTATGTTATACATGAAACAATTTTTGTCAGGTTTCTTCAGCTGATTTTTTGGTAGACTGTTTAAATGCTTACATTCATGCATGTAGTGAGCAATCTTGATAGTACACAAAGCCCTACTCATTTTAGGTACCATTCTGAAAAATATTACTGTGCTCAACTGCTATGAGCAGTGAACCCCATTTCTTTAAGTAATTTTTAAGTTTTTCATCCAGCATATTGTGGTGACTACAGCTGGGAGGAGGAGAAATTTTCTGAAGTATAGTCTCCACTACCACAAAAAAGTCATTTGAATTGCCTTATTACAGATGCACTGTTCTAGCCTAGAGTACTTTTTATCCTAAACAACTGTATTATTCCCAGGGTCATTTTGTGTTATTTATTTTAATATACAAGTGTCTTTAAGGTGTATTTCTGACTCTTAAAATGCTTTTAAGTGATGCCACCGCCTAAATCCTAACTTAAAAGAAAGAAGCTAATGGAAAGTGTTTACTGCTTCAAAGGTACAATTACTTGGATGATATTTGTACAGTTTTTGTGGATTGCACTGAGACTTCTCCCTCACTGGTGCATTGGCTGGGTTTGCCTGTGTTGATGCATTTCAGGGGTAGCCCCCTCCAGAGGTATACTGCAGCCTTACTGGGCACTGAGACAAAATGGAGAGTATTTTGTGCATGGGTTCTTTTGTGGTGTTCTCATTCTTTGTGCCTGAAAAGTTGCAGGCTTCCTGAGAAATGTCTTGGGATGCAACATTGCCCTGGTGTTTTCAAGTTGTACAGCATGCAGAGGCATTTTAGCACCTAGGGTTTTTGTGACTAATGTAGATGACTGTTCCACAATGACTCTGCCAACCTTGGAGCAAATCAGTTTCACTGGGTGTTGTGCTGCCTTGGCTGGATTAATAATGCGGTCCAAAGTACCAGGACTGAAGCTGGATCACATCTCTGCTTTGCTTCAGCCAGTTCTGCAATTGAAGTGCAGAAAAACAGTCTCAATTGATAAATGAAAATTTTCTGTTATCTGAACACCACAAAAATAATAATTGTTTCCATAACTTACTGATTTTCCTGGTATAAAGCCTTTGGAGCTGTACTGTTCTTACCTAATCACGAGGAAGAATGCAGGAGGAGTATCTGAATTCATAAAGAGACCTTCAAGAGTCTTGTAGCCTCAGTGACATGTATTGATATAAGAACTTCTAATTTAAAAAAAGAACAACATATAGACTGAGGTTTAAAAAATGCTTCCTTGAGCAACTGGGTTTCCTTGAGTTGGAGCTGCCCTAGCTTTGCCAAAGCTCTTCCTTTGAATACAGTGTAGTGTAGTTTGTTGAGGGACTCTTAGTGATGCCAGCAGTTCTGGAGTCTATATTATACTTAATGCACTTCATCTGATTGAGCTTTAATACAAAAAGGTGTTGGGAGCCCAGAATGCTTTGGGGAATCCACTCCTTGCTGGTCTGTGGTAGTGAGCCTTCTTAGTGTTTCTAGCTGACCCTGTGAAGCAGTTACACAAGGATACAGTAACAGCTGTGAAAGGGCAGAGTAGCATTATGTGATTAGATAGGGACAGTGTGTGGGTTTTAATCCATCCAGGCTGGGAAAGTAACTGAATTTCAGTCTCTCTTGGGCAGGTACTTTTCTGACTGAACTAAAAGTAGATGTGCATTCATTTCTATGCTCAACTGTGATTTCAGTCCAAGTGCAGTGGTAGCATTTTGTCTGAACTGAGCAATTTGACTATATACTGAAGTGTGTTCTCAATATACCCACTGGAACTTTGCCCTTTACAGTGCTTACATAGAAGGACAGCCACTTCACACGTGAGTATAGGTGTACAGGAGATTGAGTGCTTCGGTAGAACTATTCCTTGCTGAATTTTAGTTTCTAAAAGAAAGCTGAATATAGCTGACTCAGAATGAAGCAATTGTTTTGATTTTAGTTCTAGAGATGCTTCCTTTGCCTTACACATTTACGTATATACGTGCATGTGTGCATGTCAAGTAGCTTTCCTTTAGCCAGATGATTCTTAACTGTTTAGAGAGTCTTTCTTGCTTACATATTTGTTTTCTTTCAGTTAATTATGGGACTTGGCACTCAAGGAGCAGAGAAGAAGAGTGCTGCATCTATTGCCTGCTTCCTGGCAGCCAACGGGGCTGACCTCGGCATTCGTAACAAGAAGGGTCAGTCCCCTCTCGACCTCTGCCCTGATCCAAGTCTCTGCAAAGCATTGGCTAAATGTCACAAAGAAAAAGTCAGGTTTGTATATCCATAAAATACACTGTTTCCAGATGTCTGCTTTCCACAGATTCACTGATTTTTTTAAAATGTTGAAATTAGCAATAGCTAATTAAAACATACAAATTTGGGAGTTTGGTGGAGGTTTTTGTGCGTGGCAATTTTTTTTTACTTTTAATTCTTTAGGTTTTTATGGTACACTGAATGCTATTCAGAAATACATTACTTGAAACTTACCCAAGCTTTCATGTATATTAGTATGGGAAAGGTGAGAATGGGAAGGTGACAGTCTTCAGGGGAGGAATTGGTAGAACTTCACTAGGCAGTCAGGGGGAAATCCCTGGAAGAATAACTAAGCATTGCAAACAGGTTGGCCTGGAAAGTTGTGAAATCTCTGTCCATACAACTTTTAATGACTGAAATAGGCAAAGCCTTGTATAAACTGATATGAGTTCACTGTTGTTGCTGCTTTGAGAAGGTCACCTACTGAGTGCCTGTTAATCTGAACAACTGTATGATTCTGTGAAAAGAGAACAAGGGGGTAGGTCTGATGTCTCTAGGAATCACAATTTCAGTGAAGTACCATGTTACCAGGTCCATGCAGTACCCGAGGATTCACCTTGTCCTAGTTACATTCCACCCATTGCCGCAAACGATTCTCATCTTTAATTCCCGTATGGAAAAAAACCCTGTATTCTTAAAATGTGAAAAAGAGGCGCTGTTTTTATTGGCGTTGCCTGGTAAAGAGTAAGGTTCTTATTTCCTTTCGGAGTCCGTGTCCGTGCGCGTGTCCGTGTGTCCGGCCCCATCCCATGGCGGGAGTTGGGCACGGGCGCCCTCTGCGGGCCAGCGCGGCGCGGAGCTCCGGCCCCGGGTCCGGCACTGCCGGGCGTGCGGATGGATGGGCGAGGCTCGGGGGCTGCCCGCCGCAGGGCACGTCTCTGTTAGTAAAGCAAGCTCTTAGGATGAGAGAAAGCGACGTTTTACGTTCACAACACGATATCCTAACATGTGTGTCCTGTTTCTGTACAATGCCTTATCCGAGTGTGTAACCTTGCACTGCAGTGTCAGCTGTACTTCTGGGAAAAGGCAGTTCAAATCACTGTATGATCATACATTGATGCCCAAGTGCATAGGAGTATAGAAGCAGCCAGTTGATGTGCATTTTAATTTGAGTGGGTTTTTTTAATTATTAAAAGTTTGACTGCCAGGTTTCTTTGTAGTGGCCAGGTTGGTTCCCGAAGTCCATCTATGATCAACAATGATTCTGAAACCTTAGAAGAATGTATGGTGTGTTCAGACATGAAGAGAGACACTCTGTTTGGCCCATGTGGCCACATTGCCACGTGTTCCTTGTGCTCACCACGGGTGAAAAAATGCCTCATCTGTAAAGAACAAGTTCAGTCTAGGACAAAGGTAAAAACCTCTGAAATTTATTGGTTCTCTTACTTTTATAATGGAAATATAAAAAAAAAAAAAAAGTAAAAAAGAAGTCAAAGAAATATACATATTTTATGTAGTATTATGCCCAACATGTCTCACTGGATAGTTAATTTTGCATCATAATCATATCTTGTCCTTTTCTGTTTGCCTGTCATACCTACCTCTCCCTGCCTCACAATGTCTTCATTGTTCAGGTCCTCAGAGTTCCTAATACAGTCACCTGAGGATGCTTTATTGAAATAGACTATTTTCCCCCTGCCATGGTATCTTTTCTTCATATTAAGATAAATTGCTGCTTCTTCTGAAATATAATTTCCCTCAGTAATATTGAGTTCTTCTATTCCTTAGGGCTACTTGAAGGATGATTTGCCTGTAAACTGAGTTAATATGTGCTTGTTTCTGTAGTTAATAATTACTTTCAATATTCACCTTCTTTTTCTTTGGAAACATGAGTTTCATTACACTGTCTTTTTCCTTCAGAGAATCAATCAGTCATGCCCTATTTTCGAGACCAAGGTTTCTCAAATGGTTATTCACAAGTAGTTTTGACTATATGGATACCTCCCCATTGCTTTTCTGTTTGAGTATTCTTTTATTCCTTGTAATCACCAAGTCTTGTCCTGTTTTTTTTAGCTGCTAAAAAAAAAGAAATCCTGTTCTGCATTTGGATTTATGTTTGATTTTTAGATTGGCTTTGGGGTTTTTTTTCTTTGTTTGGGGTTTTTTTTGGAAACCAAACTGTTTGGTTTTTTTGGGTTGGTTTTTTTTTTTTTTGCCTTTTCCAAATATATTTGATTAGTCTGCTTCTGTAGTATGTTGTTTTTTCCTCCATTTCAGAGTAAATATAAGAATTGTAAATATAGTGTTGCACTGTTTTTACTACTCATTCTCTTATTCTTCTTATACTATTTGCTGTTCTGCATTGCGTATGTTCAAAAGCCAAATGTTAACATAGTGGGAGCTCCTTTTCTCTAAGACTTTCTTTACAGTCAGTGAAAGGGTCTGCCACTGGGTAATTTGGAGTATGAGGATTCTGCCCCTACTCATTGATCTAAAGAAGGTACTCTATGGAAATCAGCTTTCCCAGGTGAAAGCTAAGCTTTATAGATAGCCTTCCTTTGATTTCTTTTGCTGAATTAGTTTGAGAGATTGGAATATCTGGTCAATACTTCTCTTGTACTTTTCTGTATAAAAACTGCAAGGCCAAGAAATGAATGAATCAGGACAACAGTTCTATGAACTGAAAGAGATGGTGCAGGCCAGTATAAATGGAATTGTATGTGATGTCTATGATCATACTGCATATGCCCCATCCCTGGCAGTGTTCAAGGCCAGGTTGGATGGGGCCCTGAGTAACCTGGTCTAGTAGATGATGTCCCTGCCCATGGCAGGGGTTGGAACTGGAGTATCTATAAGGTCCTTTCCAACCCAAACCATTTGATGATTCCATGATATATACAGCTCTCTCACAAAAGGACTTGAGAAAGCCTGGCCCAGAATATTAAAACATTTCTGTAAAAGTACTTTTTAAGTTAAATTTCATAGGATCATAGAATGTTGGAAGGGGCCTTTAAAATCAGTAATGTGACTGACATCTGATACTGTGCGATGAGCTGGAACATCTTCAACGAGATCATGTTGCTCAGAGCCCTGTCCAGCTTGACCTTCAGTGTTTCCAGGGTTGGATCATCTGCCACCATTCTGGGTAACCTGTTTCAGTGTTTCATGACCCTCATCATAAAAAATTTGGTTCTTATACCAAATTGGCTTTCTTTTAGTCTAAAACTATTACCCCCTGTACTACTGCAACAGGCCCAGCAAAAAAGTTTTTTCCCATCTTTCTTATAAGTCCCCTTTGAGTACAGAAATGCTGTAATAACATCTTTGTGGAGACTCTCTTCTCCAGTCTGATCAACCCTGATTTAAGTATCCTTGATGGAATAAAGAAGGAGAAAAGAAAAATAAAAATATGGTGTTCTAAATGCTTCTCTGTGCCTGTCATTGTACTGAATGTGTAAAAATTGCCAGCAAATACCTGTTCTTAGAAGTTAATGTGATAACTTAAGATGCACTTTGAGATGCTGAATGTGTTAAAAACCCCACTAGATGGAGATTCTTGAGGCCCATGTGCCTTGCAAATTAATGTGGAGAGCAGGAGATGCACTTTGCTCACGAGTGTGTTGTTCTTTACAGATTGAAGAATGCGTAGTATGTTCAGACAAAAAGGCAGCAGTGCTCTTCCAGCCTTGTGGTCATATGTGTGCCTGTGAGAGTAAGTAACTCTACAAAAATTCTTTTGGAGAAAATTGTGAGACAGAATGTTTTTAATCAGATTGCTAAAACCATTAGCAAGTGTGTGTATGTCATGTGTCCGTCTCAACAGTGACAATTAGTAATCTGATTTCAGGTTCAATTTACTTTGGTAGTCTGGTGTGATCGTCAGAATTTTGACATTATTTGTCATGCTGGTAATAATTGGAGGACAAAGTGGAGATTTTCAAATATTTAGAAAGTGTGTGCTCTGTCATCTGAATAATTTAACTGTGAGTAGGCTTTCTCACATAATAGAAGCCTACTGCATATCATTAACACTTTGGTAGTAATTAGAATTAATTGTGTTGTTTTGTTGCAGCTTTTTGAAGGCATTCAGATGTGCAAATGGTCTTTTAAAATACATTGTCAATAAATACTTAGTATGCTTCATTATTAATCTACAGATTTGCACAAGGGCTGTATTTTGCCCCAAAAGTCACATCATGTATCTTTGCAAAGAACATCAGTTGTGGTTCATTTTGATTTATCTTGTGTAATGGTAAAATAGGTAGGTGAGCTCTAGAAATTTTTTGGTTTTGAGTAGAAGTGGATGAGAATGCAGCTATCACCTTGTCTCCAGACATTTCAGGGTTTTGTTGAAGGGTCATTTCCCTAGAGAATAGCAGTCCTTATTGATGAGGATCTACGCAAGAGGGAAGGTAATTGTTCCCATGAGTAACTGCTTACTTGGACTTGCTGAAGAGGTCTGGTTTCCTCCTCTGTTCTGGCTGAGGCAGCTGACATCAAACCACTGGCTATAGTTAGCCTGATCTGGCCTCTTTCACTGTCTGCAGTTGAAAGATGATGAGAGAAGTTTTTTTGAATCGTTTCCCAGGAAAGAAGACAACAAAAAGATTGATGACTGTGGTGAAGGATTTCAGCAGCGCAGTACACGTCACCAAGTCTAAGCTGTAACAAGGACAGCAGAAGGTTTAACAGTTGTAGATTATTTCTTTCCAGATTTTTTTCTGGCCATCTTGTTCAAGCAGGATGAGAGAGTCTTCAAGTTTGTGTATTTTGTAGGACCCACTCTCTTGATTCACAGTAACATTTTAGCATTTATAAGACAATAACTTGCCTTTAGTAGAAAAATTACAGCCCCCTTTCTAGGATTATATCAAAATATGTAGGTTTACTCTTAAGGGTAAAGAGCTGCAACTCTTTGCCCCTGGAGCATTAGGACAGTTAGTGAGATCCTTTGTTCTAAAGAAAAAGATAGCCAGATAGTCATTACATTCTTGAAAGTTCTGGTCTCAAATGTGTGATTACCTTTTAACATCTGAAATTCTTGTGGACTAGACATCTATCTGAAGAAAGAGGAACATGTTCACTTGAAATACCTTAAAAGGAGATAGAGAATAGGTTTACTTTCAGCACCAAAAAGGACATTGTTTGGGTGTGATTTGCAGAAAATTATGTGGAGATAAACTCAAGTAGTTCTTCATGTTATAAGCATCTGTTAAGTCATTGCTGTTTAGTTACTCTGAATAAACAAACTCATGTATAGGAAAAAAGAAAAACAAAGTGGGAAGATTCAGAGTTGATTTATTTTTCTGTTCCCTCAGATTGTGCAAGCTTGATGAAGAAATGTGTACAGTGTCGGGCAGTGGTTGAGCGAAGAGTGCCTTTCATAATGTGCTGCGGAGGGAAAGGTACAGAAGATACCAGTGATGATATTTGTGAGTGACTCCAGAGCCCATATTCTTTCCTGTTCCTCCACCAACCTATTCTTGTTCTCTCAAATGATCTAAATATTTCTCTCCTTTCTGAAGAAAAGTTTAATGAAAACAGTGCTAACCCAGGTATCCCTTTGCTGCTTGCACTACTTTCTGCATCAGCAGCAGCAAATGTGGTAACACCACCAGTCATTACACTGAAGAGTTGCTTCTGGCATTCAGAGTAGAATCCAAAACGTGTGATGACTTGGCCACTTACGAATGCCCTAAGAAATAAAAGCTGAAGATTTTCTGTGACTGTGCAAATAAGCAAAAATTTTTTTTTTTTTACCTCTGGTACTCTGAAGTAATGGTGAGTATTTTGTATTTAGGTACAAGCAACTTTCCTGAGAGAATGTCTAGTTTTACATCTCCTCCTTTGACTCGTTTTTAAACTTCTTGCGACTTATTTGAGTAATTTCTATGAATTATTTGTATTTGCTCTGTGTGTGTATATGTGGCACACTGTGTTTCTGTTGAGTTTATGAGAATGGGATATCAGTTCATTCTTGTTATAAGGTTCTGATATAGATAAATATAAGAATAGTCATTAAAATCAGATTTTCAGTACTCACTGGAAATTAAAGACTTGACAATTCTTTCTTTCATTGCTTCCCAGATCAGTCAAATAGAGGACTATTAATCTGAGCTTGTTCAAATTTTGAATGAACTGCTTCTAAGACACTTGTGCAATTTTGAGCACCAAATAGAATCATCTCTGTAGATAAAAAAGTCATTTCAGTGTGACGGAATTTGGCTTTTTTTTTCCCTTAAACATATGCAAAAAATATTCATGTCAGGAACTTCGCTGACAAATAAGAATTCTGAGAACATTAATGGACTACAAGCATCATTATTATGGAAATACTTGTCAAAGAAGTATTGCTGCTAAACTCAAAGAAATTCTTTGTTGAGCTGCGGTGAGGGTGTAGTGAATTTAATTAGATTATCAAAGATGGTTGACTAACATTTTTTTCAGATAATTGAAAAATTATAGCTGTGACACTGGAAATAATTATTCCTGGTTCATTAGATTGCTGCATAATCACATATCTTTATTTTCTTTTAATGCTACAGCAAGTGGAAACATTCCAGTTTTGCAGAAGGACAAAGACAACACTAATGTCAATGCAGATGTACAGAAGCTGCAGCAACAGTTGCAAGACATCAAGGAACAGGTAAAAGTGCTGGATAAAAGTTGTAAGACCCATTAAGTGCAAGAACCACTTGACTGAAAAAGGCAATGCATCCTTTATTATTTAAAGCAAAATGACATGTTGAAGTGCATCAGGTCTTGAACTGTAGTTGGAAGACCAATATTTTTTGTGGGATGTGACTTGTATGTCCTTTATGTATGGGATTAAAAGAAAAAATCAAGTGGCTGTGTTTGATAATCCATCTATTAGAGCGTGTGTGTTGATGTGACTGAAAAAGGACGCTCTTCCCAGACAGTACATTCTCTGACTGTTAAGCTGACCTGGATGTGTTGATACAGAAGAAACTGTTTTCACAGAACAGTGATAAAAGTAGATCATCTTCATCATTCTGTATCTACCTTAATGTTGACTTGTCTGTTCATTAACTGCCTTGGAACAATAGCTGACAAGTTATCTGTCTTATGAAGGGTATAGTGAACACACTCTTCAAAAAACTGTGTGGCTGCAAGGTTAAAACTTTGAAAATGTTATACATGTAATTCAAATATTTGGAATTTAAATGTTAAGGTTTATCTTTGTAATTAGGTGTAGTGTTTGCAGATCTTTCAGCAGTAAGGGATCTGGAGCATTTGACTACTGAATGAGGTTACTCTCTTAGAAACCTGATAATGTGACTTTTTGTTTCCATGTGTATAACACAACTGGAAGAAACTTTTCATGGATACAGGAAACTGAGGTGTTCTAGCTTGCCTTTTCCTGTAGTAGGCTTAAGCAGTCCATAATACTTCAGTGATGGCAGCATCACATCTAGTCCTGGTAGTTGTTGGATTCAGCCGTTCATGTGCATGAAAGCCAGGGCTAGAACATTTAGATTGCCAGCTTTAGGCCTGTGTTTCAAAATGCCTTAAATTTGAGAGCTGATATGCTTAACTGAATGTCTGTGAGGAGCTTTTCCTGTCATATGGTGACTGGGCCAGCACCCCAGTCACAGAATTTCATAACTCTTTCCTGTGTAGTTTTTATCTATAAAGAACATGCAAGATTGAAAATTGTAATTTGAAAATGCATGTCTGTCTTATCTGGAACCTCCAGATGTTACTGTCATCTCTGATGGCTTGCATCCACTATATAGCTTCTGCTTTACTTTTTAGCATTGAATGGAAAGAATAAGGTTTTTCTTTTGCCATTTGAAATGGTGCATGCACAAGATGCCAGATGCATGATTAAATGCAAGTAATCTGTTTTCTTCAGATGAGTTTTTTCAGGGTACTTTAGGAGTTATAGAAGATCAGAGTTCTGTTTGCCAATGCTGATATTCTTATGTATAGGCACGTGAAAAGAAAACTACTTTGTTACAGTTTTTCTTCTTGATTAGATGTGATCTCAGGGGTTTTTTGTCAGTTTTCCTTAGGTGCTATTTTATTCTCTCTGATTTTATCTAACCTTTGGGATTTTGCTAGCCAGCTACCAGAATTGTTCAGTGCCTCTGACTAGAAAGAGATGGTTCTGACTATTCCTTGTGTGCCTCTTGGCTTGAGACTTGTGTTTTCAGTGTCTTTTGTGCTTAGTCTTGTGACAGGGCAAGTTGTATCGTACTTGTGTGTAGCAACTCAGATTTGACTAAAATTGATCATCTCATCTTTTAAATTTGTGCTTGAAGTTTTGCACAGCATTCCAGAATAATTGTCTATTCTTTTGTTTTGTGCTGTAATAGTTCAGTCTTCGTGTTCAATTGATATTTTTCTACTTAAAGTTAATTTGTTCTCTTTCAGCAGGTATAAGCCTTTGTTTCAACTCATACCTTCAATGATAATCTAATATGTTAGTGCAGCAAGCTTTTAAAACTATTTCTGGTGCCAAGCAGAAGTGATGCTGATGTCAACAGAATCTCCCACATCTGATGACCACACCATTCGTCAGGGATTCCCTGAATGTGAACCCTTTTGACTGTAATTGCAATACCTTCACTCCATTTCATACATAATCATCATCATCATCATCCATCTAATATCTTATGTATGTTCCTTCACCATACTTACATCACTTTCTTCTTCCTTAAAAAATAAATTTATTTTGTCACTGTGCACCTGTATATTGTTGTAAAAACTGTTTTTAGTAGTGAGGAATTCATACTTCAAGCAGTTTAAAACACCTTGTTAGTGAAAGAAAAATAATTTGAGTTGCAAACCCAGTTACACTTAAGGTGCAATGGGCACTTTCCCAGAGTACTTACCTGAAGAAGTAATTCTCATATAGAACAGGCATAGTGCCTTTTTATACTATTTGTTTTCGTTCAAAAGATGGGAGTCAAATGTTGCAGGCAGATAAAAAATGGGATTTCATGCAGAGGATGTTCTAACAAATAATGTAATAGTTACAGGTGCTTATTTTTCACTCCTTATTTTTTGCTGCCCAAAGGGGGCATAAGGCTTGCTGTGAACTTTCTTTCACTGTACAAGTATAAGATGGTGGTTAAATAAGGAATTCTCCTTCACATTTGGATAAAACTCAGTTATCTGGGCTTATACCCCACTGGGAAACTGCTGAACTAATTGAGAAAAGCCTGTCAGAAGAGAATTGTGTAGCAAAGAGGAAGCTTGTTATTCTGCCAGCTGAGTCCTCCTACTGTGTGAAGTAACTTAAGTGTTAAGATAGCATCATGTTAAGAAATTAAACAGCTAACATATTTTATATACTGTGCTTCTGTACTAAGCAGGAGAAGTAGGGCAATCTTCTAATACTGCATATCTATAAAATGATAATATGGGGATTTCTGTCCTTGAGTGAATGAAACAGTTCAAAGTAATGATGTTTCAACAGATTTGATTTTTTTATTGTGTTCCTTAATAGATGCTTTCATTTTTAAATGATGGTGTAGCATTTGGAGAGAAACAGACCCTTGTAACTTCAATAATTCTGATATTATATTTAGACACAAAAGCAAATAATTAGCCAAAACATACAGTAAATGCTACACATGGGGGATTTTCCCAAAGATAGGATGAGTGTTTGCTTTGTCAGTCCTTTGTGAATGATCATCACGCCAGCGCTGCCAAGTTACAGACACGTGTCACACAGCTGTGTATTCATTGCATTGGAAATAGCTGTTTCACTGATACCTGAAGTCTGTGAGTTACTGGAGGAGGAATACTCTAAAGGTCCCATTGATGTGTAGGATGTGAAGGTGATGACTTCATGTGAATGCAAAAATGAGCAGGACTGATTGACAGACAGTCTTCTGTAAATTCTTAGTTTGACAATGTTTTGTTACAGTATTGTGAAAATTCTGGCAAAGCTGGAGCACATTCCCCTTCAGGGCTTTTTTAAAGTATAAAATGGCTTAAGGTTTTACCTGGAAGTTTTATTTTCCTGCTAGTCCGTTATACTAGTACCCTGAAGATTAAAATAGTGATTTGGCCAGGTTCCATGCCAATTTAAACTCTTAAGCAGAATTTTGGTGAATTCTTTTGTTCTTCAGTTACGCTATCTACCCTAGGAAGTAATATCTATGATTTCATAGAAAATGTGCTTTAGGATTTTTCTGAACAGGGTACCTTGGTATGGATTTTCTCTCATGCAATGAACAAATTGAAGTGAAGCCCCAGTGATGAATACAGAAGTAAATCACAGGTGCAAGGTGGTGATAAAATGAATTTGTATTTGAAATACAAGCATTGTCAGTATTTCATTTTATGTATGAGATCAATATTTATAATTGTTAGATATTTGTAGTATGTCTCAGATAAGAGGAATCTTAGATTTGATTTGTTCTATAGAATGGTCTTAAGAATTTTCATCTTTTGTAACATCTATTCATTTACTAACATTTGATAAACTGTTATAAATGAAATCCTAATATGGGTGCAATATATTTATGGTGAAGGAACATGCCTTATGAAAACTTTAATTTCTGCACATGACAAAAGGTGAAGGACATTGTTCCTTAGTGGCTTGGTGCAAAACGAATTTTGCTGTTGAAGAACTTTGGGCATTGACCATCACTTCACGTTCAGCAATTAAAACTGATTTTAAAAGTTTGCTGTGCTGCTGTTATGAGTGAAGGTTACAGATTTACTAAACTGTTCTTAATTTGAAACTTGAGGTGTTCTTTTGGTTGAAAATCTGGATAACTTCCACAAAGTACTAAATTTTACATATCATATTGATTATGTAACATTTTTATTCCTGCTGTGGGTGTTGAGTGCTTGGTGTTTACAGGTAAGTTTATGAATGGCTAGCTTGCCTGAGAAGAAATTTGTAAATCATTACCCAGGCATTGCATACATCAAGCTGTTGATGTTTTGTTCCCTGGAAGATTATATGATATAAAGTAGAATGTTTCTGAAGAGTGTTTTAATGTTGCAAATCTGCATAATTATATTGAAAATATGTCAACCTACTACTGGATTACCTTAATTAAAGAAATCATATTTTTAAAAAATCTACGTGATTGTGTCATGATGGAGTAGGAAAAGCCCATATATTTTAAGTCCATGTGGAATAAAAATGGGATTTTAAAAAACCCCCACAATTGGCTGTGGCAATTATCTGCTATGCTTATGATGACATATTTGTTGTTGAATTTCAGCAGTTGCACACTCAGTGCTGTATAACTGCTGCCACTGAGTAGGTAACCTGTGCGAATCTTTTGCAGACGATGTGTCCCGTGTGTTTGGACCGGCTGAAGAACATGATCTTCCTGTGTGGCCACGGGACGTGCCAGCTGTGCGGAGACCGGATGAGCGAGTGCCCCATTTGCCGCAAGGCCATCGAACGGAGGATCCTTTTGTACTGAGCAGGGGCCAGGGTCTTTTTTACTAGGTTGTCAAAGAGTAAGGACATGTTGATGCTTTTAAGCCTCTGTTAGTTTGAAAGGTAGTAAAGGGTTCTGATGAAAACATTTCTAATACTGTAGCACAGGTTTGTTACATAGTAATTGTTTAAAGACTGTGAACACACCAAATAAAAGAAACAGTATTTGAACAGTCAGCTTGTAGCTTTACTCTTAAAAAACATCTAAACCTAACGCTAATTTAAGGCAGTCTTTTTTTCAGTTTGTTTCTGTCTTCTTCTTCCCCTTAAAGTTTAAAGGAACAATCTTATTTTTGGTTTTGTTCATGTGTATCATGTATGTATCAGATGTCAAGTGATGTAAGGGAATTTTTTTTTATACTGTCAGTTACTACGAAACATAAATATTTAGAATTTTTTTTTTTTTTTGCTTTGTGCTTTCTGGAGAGTGTCGACATTTCCTGTGACAGTTCTGATTCACAATTAATTTCTGTCTTGAAATACACAGTCATGAAAAATCAATACAAAATATATACACAGTAATAATAGATATACTATTCCCATAAAGTCATGCCTCAGAATGCAATGGTAGGGGTAATTCTGACTTCATCATGCCCTTTGTTCCTGAGGATGGGTTGTGTAGGGAACAATAACAAGAAAAATCTGTCTTAGAAGCATTATGTTTCCAAAACCACACTTTGAGCTAACAGGTTCAAGCTAAGTAACTTAAATAGCGAACTTCATAATTCTGCTAATTACTTTACTTTGTATGGAATTGCTTTTAGCTTGAGTGGAAAGGAGAACATTTGAACAGTGGGTCAGTTACCCCTTTTAGATGAGTGAATTTGATCCATTGTGTAGAAACACATACATGCAGAGCCATTTAGAAATTGTGGGTCTGTGAATTCAGAAAAAAGAGATTTTGCAAAATGTCCTTTCTTTTTAAGTGAGTTTTATTGTCTCCAGTCAAACAGTGTCAACAGCAAAAGAGAATATTTAATATTGATTATTCATCTAAGTGGGGTGTTAACACCAGAACTTATCTGTGAGCATTACTGAATAATACTGCAAATGAAGATATTGCTGACAGAACAGTGAATTTTGTGAGCTGTGCCTAGTTGAGCTGAATTTTGCTGAAGGAGTTTCTTGTCCCTGATATGATAAAAAGCTGTTCCTCCTGACCTCCAAAATGCTACTGTTAGAGACTGCAAACTATTAACATTTTGAAAACAAATGTATCCTTTCATCCTTTTTAGTGGTAGAAAATACACTGATTTAAGGATCTCTTGTAGCTAAAAGGAATCTGTGCTTGCTCCTAAGTGATTTGACTGCTTTCTGAGTGCACAGTTCATGTAGCCCATTGCCATTGTGCAGTCTTCATTTGGATGTGCTCTTGCAGAACATTAAAGAAATTCGTGCTGGAGTCACTTAGGTGCCTTACTTGCAGCTAAGATAAATTTATCATTGAATTCTCATTGCATATGTCTAAAATGTGGATAAAAGGATAGTTCAGGGAAAGATCCAAGTAAGGATAATGTTGTAATTGTGGTCTTTGCAGATAAATTAATCTGTCTTCTGAAACTGATGTTGATATACCTGAACTGTGCAAATATTGGCAAATGTCTCAGAAGACTGTTAGTAATAAACTGTAAAGATAGACAAACCTTTAAGCAATAAGATTTAAACACTGAATAAAGTTTTCCAGGAAACAAGTACAGTGACATATTGGAAAAGTGTATGTAGAGGGGCTTTTAACACCATGAAGTGGTGTAATACACAGCCTTACAATAGCCATCTTTAATCTTCCTCCAGCATTCCAAATGTTCCTCATTATTTTCAGCGTTCTGTCATTGGACACAGTCACAATCTGGAGTCACTGTAGTAGTCTGGTTTATTTTGTATAATAGTAGTCATCTGGTCTCAGATAATTGTATTCTTGACCAAATGAAGCAGGCTTCCCTTTTTTAGCTTCTCAATTCCTATTCAAAAATACCAAAATTTTAAGGGGTTTTGGAAAGTTTTTGATGTAAGACCTTTTTTCAGTTCAGCATTTTGGGTATCTCCACTTGAACTCTGTGTGCATCTGAGTGTTCATTGCAATTTTCATTTGCACAATATGCATGTTACTAAGGTTTTTGGTTTGGTTTTTTTGTTAGTTTTTTGGGGGTTTTTGGTAGCATGTTTTACAGCTGAACTTTCTGTAGTAGGCTTCTGTTTCTTGTCAGGCTCCCCCTGGAAATACTTCTATAATAGATGTGCCATTTGATGATGCATTCTGAGTTTCAGCCTGTTGTCCATCAGATTTGTACCTTGATTTCCTTTGTCTCTGGCAGACATATTTTGTCCTCTTCATTCTTTAAGGGAACCTCTGCAAACTTGGCTATGCAGATGCAGGGTGGATCTCTTCTTGATAACAACTCAAAATTGAAACCTCAGTATAGCAGTTCACATTTTCCTGACTCTTAGTTGCTGGAACAAGCCAGAATTACTTGAAAGTATTCCAACTTAGCATCAGCTTAATAATTCAGCTGAGTTAGAACAGATCTGAAGCATCCTGGGTAGGAAACTGGATGTAAGATCTAAGTTACTGCTTAACACCCTCAGTGCTTGAATCACCGAACTATGGAAAGGGAGACAACGACTGAAGGTGTTGCTGTAGGAGCAGCTTTAGTATCCTATACTGCGCTCAAGGCAGATGGATGTGACTGCATAGGAGTTTGTGATTGGACTCATTCAGCAATGTTGTGTGCCAGTTGAGACTGAACTGTGTCAGTTTGATGGTGGCACACAAAAACAACTATTTTAGTGCCAAGAAAAACAACTGAATTATAAAAACTAGGAAAGCTAACCAAGATGCTTGATTTATTTATATAGGTCTTTTATTGACAGGAGGAAGGGCTGTATCACGTCTGGAGATGGCGATACAGTTTGTGTTTCAAAAAACTTAAAGAGGAAAAATGCTTGCAAATCCAGTATCATTTATGGAAATAAATATTTATATTCAGACTCTCTCTTTTCATTCAGGTGTAGAAGGTGAGCCAGTGTTGTTGAGGATCCCCGTAAGCTCATTTGCTTTATTTTGTGGTTATCTGTGCACAGAGTGTGAATGTTTAATTGGATAGCACATATTTTAAGGATGAGAAGTTCACTTGAATGCCAAAGGGGATAATAACAAGTAGTAGAGTTAAGGAAATATCACTGTACTTCTGTCTTCAGCAAAAGATTAAAGTCTAAATTTCACCTGAGCAAAGTGAAAATTAGAAAAATCAGTTAGGCATTTATCTCCTTATTTATTGTAAAGTCGTAGAATGTAAGGGTTGTAAGGTTTGTTATGTCTATTCCCCAGCATTTAATAACAATTTTGAAATTAAATGGAATGAAATATCTCCATTTGTTTCTTGAAACAAGTAACAAGACACCTAAAAATATGTATTGTTCAGTGTGAGGTATGCTCAGATGTTTAAGTAAAATACTTTCTTTTGCATTCATTAAGGGACATAGGCAGTCATATCACTATGCAGTGATTTAAAGTGCAAAGACAACCTAGGAGGTTACAGAATAAACTAAATAGTTGTAGATTGTTAACTTTTGTATAACTACCTTTGACTTTTTTTCCCCTCAAAACTTGTATCATCACTTATTGTGGCCCAGGCTTATATGGCAATTCTCAAAATCTGGGCTGCTATTGCCTACTTTCCATTTGTTTGATTACTGTGTATTTGTACTTTGGGATTTGGAGAAATCCCTTTTTCCTGAAGTGGATAATAAAAACTAGACTGGTGAGATAGCAAACAAGTTCCTTTCTAAATGTGGAGGTTTGATTAGAAGGTGGTATTCTTAACTTGGACTGGGTGAGAATATAGCAGATTTGCACAAGTACTTGTGCCTTTTTAGCATAATCTTATAATTGGTATTTTAGCTTCTTTTAAAGACCTGAAATGGTCTTTTAAAAATAATTGAGTACTTATTGTGTAGATATTTTCTAGAGATGAAGGTTTATGTACGTGTAATTATCTTTAGCAGTATTAATTGCAGTTAGTGTAAACACTAAATTGTTTGAAGAAGCTGCTTTCAGCTAGTGATCTGAGCTTCCTCTACAAAACTAATTGTGAGAAATTTAATTTTACTCTTCCAGTAGCAGCTGGTGAACCGAAGAGCCTATCCTGTTCTTTGTGCTGCATGGGTCAAGTTTTCACTTTAAAAAACCAAACCCCAACAACACTACAGTCTAACCTTTAGCAGTGCTACCTCCTTTCTGTCAAAGTGCTGAATTCTTCTCTAGCTGTTCGTTGTCTTTGGGAAGGGGTGGGGAATGCATCAGTTTTCTTTTGCTTCATCAGTTTTGATGTCTGAATACATTGCAGAGGTTTTTTTACTTTAGAAAATTACTGTGTAAATTGCGTACAATAGCAGTGTGTGATTTGCCACAAAGTACATTGTATACCTGTGCATAAGTTCCTGGAATTCATACTGTTGTCTTTCTGTGCATTTCATACTTTGTTTGTGTTGACAAAGCTAAACTGTTGTCTGCAGAAGCTTTAGCGTGTGCCATTTTTATAGCTCAGCCTGTGGTAAATACGCAAGTTCTGACTCAGGGCTTTTTAACAACTTAAACACATTCACAATATTCTTCAGCACATCTTGGAGAATACTAGAGATTTAATGACTGTACAGTGCCTTGATAGAACTATTGAATGGGCAGCAGCCATAGGGTCTTCACAAGAATGCAAGTATCTTTTCAATCCAGTTAGTGAGTTGATGTTAATGTAGTTGTAATGCCCTCGCCATGGATTTATAAACTTGTATATATTTTCTGTAAAGGAAAATTGGCAAATTTAGATATTGTTAAGCTTTCTGAAAGCTGTTTAATTGTTGCACTGGTCATGAGGATCTGAAGGGCATAATATTCAAATTTAAAGAAGCAGCTTTTGTGTCAAAGACAGCTGAGAAAATTTTCTGTATGTGACATTTTTAGTGTGAGGAAGAGGTAATTGTATAACATGTAAAAGTACCTGCTTTACTCTGATCTGGTAAATCTTCTGTAAGCAAGAGAGAAGTAACCAATGACAAATCAGTATGTTTGCATGCCATTTCATAGTTAGAAAACTTTGTGTCATTTTGAGCTTCTAGAAATACTTAATTTGTCCCAGCCTTAGTGTCTGTATGAATGCAAACTGTTCATGTTAGGAAACAGTTTTTACTGAATCACAACAAGCATTTTTGCTTTTGTTAAAACTAACTTTGTATTTTCTGTAAACTGTAGATTTTGACATGACTGTTTATTGGAGAAATTTAAGGTTGCCTGTGTG